GGGATGGAGCACCTGGCAGCAGCCCCCAATGGAAGTCGGCATTTCCTCTGGGCAAGGCTGCAAACCCCTCCGTGGTGGGCAGGGAGGGGCGTGAGCTGCTCAGGGTGTCTTTTTATAGGACACTGCCTGAAATACCAAGTGCACTTGGATGCCCTGAACACATGCATGAGCCACTGAACATCTCTAAACCAAATGAAGTGAGGCATGGGAGTCAGTACGGAGGGAAAGCAAGGTGGAAGGGATGGAGATATGGCTGGAAGGGGCGGAAATATGGCTGGAAGGGGCATTGAAAAGGCAGAGAAGCAAACAGGGCGGCACGCAGCTGGTTTTCCTATGGGCAGAGTCCTCGTTCTTTGCTGCAGTTTTTATTGTATAGCTCTTGCTTTGAGTGGGCAGCCCCTGGCCTGATACGACCTCTCCAGAGTTGGTCAGAGCAGGGAAAAGTATCTGCAATCAGCAGTGGTTTTATTAAAAATACAAAGGCTTTCAAACATGCCAGTTACCCCCGCCGCTCTGAACGCATCACCCCCAGGACCCGCAATCCCGACAGCCCTGGACCGATTGCTCAGAAAGCTGGATGGATCCCGCCGCCTTCCCCCTCCTCGCCCACCCTCCTCTCGCCCCAGCAACGGAAGGAGCTCGGTTTAAAGCCAAGGGACCAGGCAGCCACCTGCAGACTCCCGGCCCCCATCCCACCAGCTCAGACGCCCCGGACGCTGATGTTTTCGTAGCTGGGGGGAGGCGTTGCCTGCGGCTCCCCGGGGTGCTGGGTCTCCAGCCAGGATGGACTGGGGCGGAACAAGGCGCTGTCAGAGGAGCTGCGCCGGCGGCCACCCTGCCAGCTCTCGTCCTCCTCCAGGTAGCAGTACAGGGGCGGCGTGAGCTCCTCCTTCCTCCCTGGGGGCTGCACGTAGGCTGGGGCACCGTGGGCAGGTCTGCAGGTCAGGGCTTCTTCATAGGTGGGGATGGCGCTGGCGTCCCAGGAGCTGCGAGGGAAGAAGAAGAAACCCAGCAGCACACCCTGTCAACCGGACCATCCCAACACCCAACAACTGGAGCACCCCAGCACTTGTCAACTGGAGCATCCCTGTGTCCCATCAACCAGAGCCACCCCAGAGCCCCATCAACTGGAGCATCCCAGCACCCATCAACCAGAACATCCCAGTACCCCATTAACCACAGAGTCCCAGCACCCCATCAACCCCATCAGCTGGAGCATCCCTGAGCATGATGGACACGTGTGCAGGGCACAGCACATGGGCAGGTTTTGCAAGCCCAGCATCAAGGGAAGACTGTGTCAGCTGCTTCTTGGCATCAGGAGGGTGGGGAGCCACGCAGGAGGAAGGGCACCATCCATCAGACCTTGCAGCAAGGCAACATCACCCAGTTCCCACTGAGTTTATTAACCCTGCACCCAGGAAGGGCAGCCTGCCAGGGCAGCCTCAAAGAGCTGCCACCTCCCATGTTAGAAGCTACAGCTGCAGGTGTGGCTGACCACAAAGCAGCAGAGGTACTGGCTCTCCAGACATCTGCCCCCCGTTCTGCACCGCACTGCTTCCCACAGGCAGGAGAGCAACCTCATCATCTGCCTAACCCCAAAGTCACCCCCTGAAGCACGGAGGCTGCCAGCAGCTGAGTGAGTGGTTTGGCACGAGCAGCTGGCAAGAGCCAGCGTCCCAGTTCAATGTGGTCATACCCCACCCTCATGCCCACTGGAGCCCTCCGTGCACTGGCCAAGCCTGGTGCTACTTCCAGCAGCACTTTGCTGAGCAAACACATCTTGTGTACAGGGAAAACCTCTGCCCAACCTTTGCCCCGCACACGGCCCCACTCAGCACCCTATGAAACAGTGCAGCCCCAAAGACAGGGAGGCTTTGAGAGCAACCCACCATCGGCTTGCTTTTGCAGCTGAAAGCCCAGTGAGGAATGCTCGGTGGAGGCTGCAGGCCTCGGAGGGGCACAGCTGGCCCAAAGGGAAAGCTGCAACGCTCTGCAGGGATGCCTCCATCCTGAACTCATCCATCCTGAACTCACCAGTCCCCTTTCCCAGACCTACTGCCCCGGGCATCCACGCCATGGCTTTTGCCAAGCAGCCTCAGCTTGCAAAGGGATGCTGCCTTGGAAATGCGGAGAGGGCGGTTTCTCCCGGCACAGGATGTCACGCTGCCAACGCTCTGCGGAGCAGCGTTTTCTGCTTTGGAGGGCTTCGCTGTGCGAATGCCAGCGCAGCTGGGGCTGCAGGAGCTGCTGCAGGACGAGCAATGCTGGGGCAATGCCTTCCCAGCCAGCACAGGAGCTGGAAGCTCAGGGAAGGAGACATTCCCTAGGGGGCACACAGCATGGGAGAAGGAAAACCCCTCAGACTGCCCAGAACAGCTTACGATCTCACTCCCAGATTTTCAGACAGGCACTGAACCCCCAGAGAACCAGGAACGTGCCTCCCGCCCTGACTGAATTTTTATGGTTTTATGTTCTTAAGAGTTTCTTTTAGTGCTGCTTTTCCCCAGGGCCCGATTTATGCTGGAGCCACAATCTTTGCTGTGACCCCATCAAACAGCACTGGGACACAGCAGTCTCTGGAAAAAAAACCCTTTTGATCAAAAAACTTTTAAATCAAGAAGTGGGAATGAATCTCAGGCTCACACAGGAAGAGTCTGGGGACCCGACAAGCAGCAGTGGTGTTTGAGGGGGGTGAGGGGTCTTCCCACAGCCCAAAACAGGCTTTGTAGAGGGACCATTCACCTGCACTCCTATCTGAATGCCATTCCGAGGATTATTTTACTTCTATTTTTATTTTAACTCCCTTTTAAAATAGGGTTTGCTTCTATTAAAGATGGCACAAACCCCATCATCCTTACAGAGCGCTGCAGACCTGTGGCACTGGGGGTTTCAACAGCTGGAGGTCTGGATGACCACCACCCCCCCCAAATCCAGGCACTCAGCCAGAAAAGCAATGCAGTCTTCTGCTCGGTGGCTCTGCTAAGGAGATGTCTGCCTTGGCCGGTGATGGCCCCACAGGGCAAGGAGAACAGGCGTAGGTACACAGCCGTGCTGGGACAGTCCAACCCACCCACAACTCCTTCCCACCGAAGTGCCGTGCAGGGACGTGGCACCCACCTGCAGTTCCACTTCTCCAGAGGCTCTGCGGTGAAGTACTGCAGGTCCCTGGGGAAATGGTACTGGTAGCGGCGGGAGACCACCCTGGCATTGGCTTTCACGGACCAGAGGAGCCCGAAGAGGAGGAGGATGCCACCGATGCCACAGCAGAAGAAGCTGACGGAGCGGAGCAGGGCGCTGGAGGAGGAGCCGGGAACTGCCTCGGCTTCCTGGGGAGGCAGGAGCCCAGCCCCGCTGCTGGCCAGGGTGCCCACCTCCCCGTCGCTCCACCAGGCAAAGCACAGCGTCCCCGTCACCAGCAGCACGGCCCCGGTGATGGTCATGCCGTAGCGGAAAGAGGCAGCTGCCATCCTTCAGAAGGAGGTTTTAGGAGGGGAGAAGAGAGAGACAGGGCATGAGAGAGCCCACGTCCTGCAAGGCAAGGAAGAGACCGGGTTTGATAGGGACAAGGTCACAGAAGAAGACATCCCAGAGGAGAAAACTGCTGAGCTAGCACCTCTCTGGGGGTCACACATTCTTCAGCCACTTATTATTGACCATCAGAAGGGGCATTTCCACCATCTCAGATGGGAAGCCCTTGTGCAGAGCAAAGTCAGCCGCCAGTTTGGACCCGTAAGTGTCCCAACAGCCTCATAAAAACATCCCCATTTTCAAGCAACGACCCAGTGCTCCCACAGAGGCAGGATGGAAGCCCCATCCAGGGGAGCTATGGAGGCGGCTCTGGGGACTTGCATAGCTCTTGTCTTTGCGTTTTATTCCAGACTTCCTCCCGAGCTCGGAGTAATGCCAGCTGGTTTCTGATCAAAGCAAGGTTTATGGAAGAGGTTAGGGAGAGGGACATAAATTTAAGGTGTCACTGTTTCCGAATTATTAGTGTGCATGTTTTCTCCTCTAAAACTGGAGGTAAATCAGTCCTGCGGTGACAGTAGGTGTCTGGCATTGCTGCTGGGAAGCCTGCAGCCCAGGGGATTCGGGGCTGTGCTGCCTCTTGCTTTCTCAGGGAAAAAGGCCAAGTACCATCCCTGAAAGCCACAGAGATGCTATTTCAGGGAAAAATAAATCCTCAGATGCTGGCAACCCAGGGTGCCTCATCTAGGGATGGCTCCCAATACGCCGAGTGAGTGGGGACCCCAAAGAGCTCTCCTGCGACTGATGGAGCCCACCATAGCTGCGCTCCTCACCGCGACCAAGCTTGGAGCAAGGACGGGCGTGGGAATCACTCCATATCTCCGTTAAAAGACAGGAATGTGCTGGATACCAGCTAAACTCTTGGAGAGGGCATGACTTACTGCTGAAGTAGGTGACTCTGCTGTGCTGGTCAGAGTGGTTGAGACAACAAACCATAGAGATATATGAGGCTCTTGCTGACCCAGCTATGATGTCCCATTTTGAGACACTCCAGAGTCACAGAAGGGTTTCAGTTTATTTTGGAGATGGGGTAAATACCCTGACACTGGAAAAGTCTGTTCAGTCTTCATCCAAAAGAGCTTTTGCACATCAAATCTGGCTCCCCTTGCTCCAGCACACACCTTCTCAGCACAACACGATCAATCCCAGAGGTGTTATCACCACCTCCACCATCCCTGCCAGGGTGGTTTGGGGTTGGTTTGGCAACCAAAGAGATGAGGCAGTCCCACGTGTTCCTGCTGGGTGGCTCTTCTCAGCTCAGTGCCACACGCTGAGAGCAACCGTCCTTCCCTAGCACAGGAAAATTTGGGGAGAGGGAGCTGGTTTCTGATCTCTGGGGCTCTCACTCCCCCTTGCTTTCTCCAGCAAACAACAAGCATCTGCTCTCTGGGCTTGGGGTTCCCTGGCCCCCAACTAACCAAACACCACCAGCAGCCAGGGAGGTGGAGAGGTTCCACCACATCCCCTCTGGCCTTGCTCACTGCCCAGCGAGAAGATGCAGGTTCAGCTCCTGCTTCTTGATGGACAAAAAGCTTTGGACCATGTGGGAATTAAGCACCAGCACCCCCTTACAGATTCAGTCTTGGGTGATTTCTCTGTGAGGGCTTCTTGTGGTGGCAGTGCCAGTGGAGAGCCTGCATGCTGGGGGCTGTCCAGGACAGAAATGGGGCTCAAGCGCAAGAGGTGGATAGCGAGCTGGGTGACCCATGCTCAGCCCCCACCTCTGCCTTCATCACTTTGCCTGTACGTCAGTAAAATGAAGATAATCTGGCAGCTTTGGTCTCCATTCTTCCAGGCAGGGCTCTCCTCCCACAGCAGGGACTCAATTTGTACCCTGAGATCTGGAAGTGTCAAGCCAGAGCTAAGGAGGGAGCAGAAGTCCAGCACAGTGTAGTCAAGGGCGGGTGGAATTACATTATTTCAAGCCATTATTTATCAGATGGGCCCACTAAATGGAAAGCCAAATTACTTCATAGTGAAAGAAACACCATCTGATCTAATCTATGTTTAATGAAGAAATCCAATGAGAAGTGGGATTTAGGAAACCTGCAGGAAAGCTGCAGGACTGGGAGCCCTGACAACATGCTCCAGCTCTTGTCCTGTGGTCACAAGCCCGAATGGCCACCCAGGCTGGGGGTGGCCAGGGGTCCCCACCAGCAGCCGCAGCCACCTGCCGGGAAGGAGTTGGTGTTTCTGGGCTGAGAGGAGGCAGAGATTCCCCCCATAACGAGGGGAGGTGTTTAGATGCTCCCTCCTGAATGCAGGGGCTTGGCTGAGCTGAGATGGAGAAAGGACTGTCAGAGGTGCTGTTAGGTGCTATTAGGGATCAGCATCCCCCAGCTCCTGCCCTGAACATGAGCAGGACACAGCAGACAAGCTGGGCTCATGCTGCCTTGCAGCAGTAGGTGCTCAGGAGAGCGTGAGGACCCTACTGAACCGTGAATCCAGCTCCTTTTGAGAGCATTGCATTTACCTGGAAAATTTTCAGCCAATATTACTCAGGGGAAAAAAAAAACAACCAAACAAACCAAAACTCCAGAGCCACCTGCCGGGAAGGAGTTGGTGTTTCTGGGCTGAGAGGAGGCAGAGATTCCCCCCATAACGAGGGGAGGTGTTTAGATGCTCCCTCCTGAATGCAGGGGCTTGGCTGAGCTGAGATGGAGAAAGGACTGTCAGAGGTGCTGTTAGGTGCTATTAGGGATCAGCATCCCCCAGCTCCTGCCCTGAACATGAGCAGGACACAGCAGACAAGCTGGGCTCATGCTGCCTTGCAGCAGTAGGTGCTCAGGAGAGCGTGAGGACCCTACTGAACCGTGAATCCAGCTCCTTTTGAGAGCATTGCATTTACCTGGAAAATTTTCAGCCAATATTACTCAGGGAAAAAAAAAAAACAACCAAACAAACCAAAACTCCACAACCTAAAAAACCCTAAGCAAAGCTCTCAATCCAGTTGGATTGAAATTACAGGTCACTCTGCACTGAAAGCCTGGGTTGAAACAGCACCAGGAGTTGAAATGTTCAGCTCCTGCAGTCAACACTCTCCTCACTTTGGGGTCAGCCTGGTGAGGTTTGGGAGGTGTTGCGATTCCCCTGGTGATGTTCAGGAGATGCTGTGATTCCCCTGCCCGGGCACAGAGAATTTTGCAGCCCCCAGCACTGTGCACATCTGGGAGCATTGGCAGCAAGGGGAAGGCGGACGTGGAGGGAAGGCGGAGAGCCTCTGGGAGGTGATGGATTCACAGCTTGAGAGAATAAACTCTTCCCTCTTGACAAAACCAGTGCTGCACAGGGAGCAACACTAAAAGCTCCTCCAGCCTACCCGGCACGTGCTCCCACAGCGCGTGTGCAGGGGCGGCTCCTCCACGCTGGGTGACATTGCCATCACACCGTCCCCTTGCCAAACCCTGTCTCGGGCTGGCACGGCTCTCCTGAGTCTCTTTAAAAGACCCACTATGTTTTTCTCAGTGCAACAACCACTGGAAGAAGAGGCCAAAAGAGCCGGCGCAGGAAGCGAGGTGTGATGCTGGGGCAGGACCTGAGTCCCTGCTCCCCGAGCCTGCTCCCAGCTCCACTGGCACTCCGCATCCCGCACATCAAGTCTCCTGCTGAGCGTTTCCAGCACAGGCTTCCAAGGAGGGGCTTCCCCTCTGAAGACAGCAATTGCCGGCTCCCAAACACCCGTCTCCACCCGCCAAGCCGCCCTGGCATTTTGTTCTGCCCCATCTCCTCCTTCGACCTGCTCTGAAAAAGTCTTTCCGGGGAAACAGATTTGCACGTTGCATGGACAAACAGACAGGAATGGTAATAGTTTACATAGTTCCAGTAAGATGCTGAGAATAGCATCCCCCATATAAAGTTATGCAGATGGTGATTCATAGGGTCTACTAAGCATTACTCAGAAAAACACTCTTTTCCAGCAACACAAGAAATGAAAAGAGTTTTGAATCTCTCCCACCGCCACCAGGCAGAAATCCACCTCCACAACCCATCCCTCCACGGCGCTTTTACAGCCTGTCCTTCCATGCCAAGCAGGCTGGAGACCTTTAACCACGGGCAGACATGCCAAGAGGAACGCCGGGGAGAGACGGGCCGAAGCGCCAGCGCGTCACCAGGGAGATTCCTTCCTGCCTTTACCCGAGTTTGCGATTATTCTTATTATTATTACTTATTATTATTTATTATTATTTATCATTGTTATTTAGGGGTTTGGTACCCATTCGAGCCGTAGTAATAGTTGAAGCTTTTGCAAGAGCATCCGAGAAGCTCCAGCGTTGCCAGCCACAGGCCGGTTCAGGG